CATAAAATTAAATTGCTATTATTAACTGCATTGCATAAAAAAGTAGATAAATAAATTTTTTAATCCATTTCTAAATCAACAATAAATAATAAAAAAATCATTGATTAAATATAAAATATATATAATTCACTTTTAAAACCCGTTTTCTTTTCTCATTTTAATGCATTTGATATATTTCCCATATTTGCCATTTTAAATTCACAATAAAATTTTATTGAACCGAAAAGATATCGGTTCAAGCGAATTAAAAAAATATGCTAACATGATCTACGTTTGAATCGAGAAAGCTGATAGCTAGTTCCGAAATACACTGCCAGTACTGAAAATCTACAGTATGCATAATGTTGACTATAAATTTTTAGTACGAGAGTACTAGAAGTGTAATCGGAACACGGCTTATATGTATAATGTGTATGTGTACGTGTATATATAAAAATTGGAGTAAGCCATTAAAATGATTGGAGCAGCCATTTTTTGGCTCGTGAATCAAGCATGAAGTGAGCATTATTATAGAAAGTTTGTCACTTTTGTAAAAAACTATTGGGGAAAAAAACTCTAGACTCGCTAATGCCCATTTTCACCAATGTAGATCAACTTTAATCTCCGTTCAACTTAAAAAACTCTTCGTATTTTTCTAATCTTTAGAACTAGAAAAAGACGAAGAGTAAGTTAAACCAAGATTAAAGTTAATCTACATTGGTAGAAGCGGGTAAGTATAGTTTAAAGTCACAGTATAATCATACCCAGCAGCGACACTGAAGTCGGCACCTTTGATGTAAGGAGCTCCGCACAATAAAAGGAATAAGGATCAGAGAACAGAGAATAAAATTTTCAACCTATCAGAAATCATCATGTGGAATACACACGAGAATAGATTGAAATGAATTCAGATTTTTCAGAAATATTGATTCATGAATGTTAAAATGAATGCTTTTCAATTCTGAATACATTTTTATTCATTTATAGGAATTGCATGGAGCACATCTCTATGCCTTTCAATCTAAAAATAATATTAGCTTTTTCTGTGCACACAAACACAATTGTGAATATTGTTCAATTCAAAATTTTGAATAGGAAATGCAGTTTTTCAATTCAATTGCATCGAATTGAATCCAATTAAATCCAATTAAATCCAAAAAAAAGTATTCGCTATTTAAAATATGCATTCGGATAGAAAATTTCAATCCATTTTAATCCATTCTCATTTGCTGGGCAATTTCTGATAGGTTTCTTGAAATTTTTCTCTGTTTTCTGTTCCTTTTATTGTGCGGAATCCCTAAGTTCTTAAGTGATAAGTCACAGGTGATTCGCCGCCATGTTGTGAAGTAAGTTATGATAGGACAGACTCTTAAATTTGAATTTCTATTAAGCTTCTATAATACGTCAGCCATATTCCTAAGTGTACAAACCGATACGATGTGCACTAAAAATTGCAGAAAATCACAAAAAAAAAAGTTCACTACTGGATATTTATACTGTGTCAAAGTAGCCACATTGGCTGCGTTCAGCGGACTCAACAGTTGAATGAACGTTTTATTAATGTGTACTTTCCAACAAGCAACACAAATAATACGATGTGACACAATGGATTATTCTTGTTGTTTGTCAATGTTAAACAAAGATGACATGATCACTATGTCGCACTGTGTCGCTTGTTGGAAGGCACGATATATTTTTCCAGATCTAAAATGCTAATTGAATGATCTAAAAGAATACACCAATAAACAACGAGCGTTCACTCAACTATCGATCGCTAAGTAGTCCAATCAACTATCAGTAGCCAATTACGAAAATTTTGTAGCTGCTTGGATTGCAAAACAGCCCAATCCGCTACAAGTAGCTCAATCTGGCAACATTGCGCGGCAGCGGACGCGCCCGAACGGACAATGACCTGGATCCGGCAGCCATTACCATTATTACCAACGGAGGAAATCGTTGAAACCGCTCGTCTCGACCTTCTCATCGTCGGTAGAACTCTGCTTTGACATAGAGTCTCACTACGGACCATATTTTATGACATCCCGATGATATCGATTTTACGTAAACAAACGACGAAAACGTGATGTATACATCACTCTGGTAGGTAGACGCGCACTCTTTCTTATTGCGTCACGCTTGCAAATTTTTTTGCCTCTGCAAATGCGTCACTCACGCCTGGTCATTGCGACAGACTGCATTACTTTCGCTTTACTGATGTATTCATCATACGTCGAATGTTTGCATTATCAATACATCAGAAAAGATTGTCGTATGATTTTTATTCACATATTCAAATTTATATATGTCTTATTAATTGAATTGAAATTGTTGAAATCAAATATCAACGATTTTATCGGTTCTCTCCCGATTCTCTCCCGCTATATCTTTATTTTATTTTTTTTTTCAAAGAAATAGCGAAAACTTTCGAAATGATTTTTGTCATAATAATATCGTGGAGCTTCGGAATAAAAAATTTTAATAGCAGCTTCAAATTTTTGAATGAGCAAGAGTAAAAAGTTCTAAACAAAGCGAGCCAATCGGTTGCTCCCATATTCGCGTGGATGTCGTGTGCGAGTGTATTGATGTGAATACACGTAAAACTCATGTCCGTATTAAATCAACTCATTCCGAACATGTAACAGGACGTCACGCATTTAAGTCTCCGCGATTTCCTGCTTGATATTTACTGTGCCCAAACGGATTCTCAATATTACTATCGTGAAAAGAAAGTGGACGATGATAAATTTTATTTTTTTAATATTAATTCGGACTCGCAAAAATTCATAAAATTATAGTGGTATTCATGCTCGAGATTTGGACTTTTTGGTCAACATTCTAAATTTTGGCACCTTAGTCAGAAAGTTAATTCTCATGTTCTTGGGATCGATGATATAATCTATTCCTTTTCGATTTTATGTTTAATTGTTTTGTCATCTTTATTTTTACTTTTTGAATTTACTTTCTACAAAAATAGTGAAAACTTCAAAGAACCGAAATAATTGTTAATTGAAGTATTTATATATAACTGCTCCTTGAGCATATTTGCTGTTTTTTCTAATGTTATGAATTTTTATTTTTGTTTTTATAGCTGTGTTACACTGAAGAAATGAAATTATATTAACAGAATTATTTTAATTGAAAGTAATCTTGTTAATTCAGTAACTTAATGAAACAAATATTTTTGTTTTAATAAAATTGTATATTTTTTATTAATAAAACAAATTTTAGTTTGTATAAAACAAATTTTATTTGTTTTATTAATAATTGTTATTGAATCAACAAAATTATATTTAATTAAAATAATATTGATGATACAATTCTGTTTTTTTTTTCAGTGTATTAAAGTATCTACATTTTTTGTTTTGAAATATGTTTAAAATTTTTAGCAAAAACGAGAAGAAAAATTTCTAGGCGTTTCATTTGCCGCTCTTGAAATCATTTAATCCATGTTTATCAAATGTTAAATAAAGATAAATGATTGCGAGCACCAGATGGAACACAACCCTTGTACAGTAATAAAAAACAAATTTCTTGTTGCATTTGAAACACGCGTTACACAGAGAGGCCTTGAGGATATTTGTGATAATACGCGAGAATTATCAAACAAAAATATATTGCATTTTCTCACGCACATCCTATACTTATAATTAATATACAAAGTATAATCTTAAATTTGTAATTTATATAAAAATATCTAGAATTCGTTATTTATAATAATATATATATAATATTGTACCGCCTGCAGCCATATAATAAATTAATTACATATAATACAAAATTATACATATACATATCACGTTGTTTATAAAAAAGAACTGTCATATTTCAAATGACATAAAAATTCAGAAAAGCTATGTGAAGCTCAATTCTTGCAAAGAATCTTTTCTAAGTATTACGATGTCTGGAATTTTTTGTTTCTTTTGATAGATATGTAAAGATACGCTTCCATAAACTTATATTTAGACCTTTTTCTTGATATGGTTTTATATATTAAGTGTAGTAAAAAGAAATCCATTATTTTTGCATGAAATTGAATGGAAAAATAATGGATTTCTTTTTACTACACCTAATATTTTAGGATTGGCGAATAGAAGTAGTTGTTAATTATTTTTTCGAGAGACATATAGCATTTCTTAATTTTGTTAGATAGTCGTCAAATGTAAATACGAAGCGACAAATATCCTAAGTATCTTATTAATATTCTCTGTAGTCTTCAAGTCGATATTGTGTCGATTGTCGCCAGATTTATGCCAAAAGGGCGGGAATGGAGTCGGTATTACATGCAAAATGGGCACGTCTAGAAAATAGAAAATGCACTTTACAGTAGAAATGTATATAAATTGATTTTCTCATGAATAATTAACAAATATTTACCTTTTTGAAAAAAGGGAATATGATCGTCTTCGATATGTGGATCGAACGAGTATGGTTGAAAATATCTTTGTTCTGGTCTATCATATGAATATGAGTCAAATTTTTTCAAATAAGCTAATTTCTTTTCAATATTGACAAGTAAGGAGTACCATTTTTCAGTGTTTTTGAAATAATTGTAAAAAGTCGGATCAGGTGCGCCTAGTAAATCGAGGAGGACCAATATGTCCTGTAAAAAAGTTACACAAATATTAAACAATTATAACAAGTACATAATAGTAATATAAAATAAAAATATATAAATTTTAATATTTCTGAATTGACAATGTAAATACGGTATGTACCATTTTATCCAATTCAGAGAAATAAATTCCTTCACCATGAGCAGTCTTGTTATTATGCCATTGTTTAGCTAAGTGTTTAGCACCATAAATCGAATCGTTTGGACCCCATTCCTCAAACGCTTCTTCTCCATCAAAGAAAATTAACATTAAGCTAACATCTTGCTAAAAAATATAAATATAAATTTTCTAAAGTTTTATATATATGAGCTGTTAATCTTGTAAAATTTCGTGTGATTCTTACTTGTTTAGTCAAATATTTACTCATGACAGTTGCCAAATTAATTAGTTGAGCGCATGGCACAGCACTGTCTGTTGCTCCAACAAAATCCCTCTCTCTCGTATACTTGGAATCAAAATGGCAAGCCAGTGTCAGGTATCTTCTTGCATTAGGATTTAATTTTGCTATTATATTTTCAAACTTCAGTTTGCCGAATACAGGCGTGTGAGCTTGGAATACATCTGATTCGATCGTCCAACCTAGATCTTTCATCGATCTCTTGATATACTGAAAAAGAAATATATGTTTTTGCTGATTCTATTAAAATAGATGATACTCTGCATTGAAACATTATATTTACATAGACACTTATCGTGTCTATGCTTTTTCCAAATAGAATTTCTTATACGATATTTATTAATGATGACCTAATTCATATAAATGATATTCAATTCTTACTTCAAGTTTTCACTTACAGCAATTATTCAAATATATAAATTTATAAATGTAAGCTTATATTAATTTTTTTAAATATAAGTAGTAAAATATTTAGCTATTAAACTTTTCTCTCAGTTATTTTTAATTTAAAATATTTACATATTTATAAAACTTACATATTTATTAAAACTTGTCACATTTTTACAATTCAAAATTTTTACGAGATTTTCGCAGAAATTGAAAAAATTTTCATTCACGCAACTTCTTCCCATTAACTTCTTACCTCCTTCACCCTCGCATGTTCGGTAGTCCCTACGATTCTCACTATACATATGTTATCCAAAATCTCATTTATATGAGTGATATTCGTGAGGTCGGACAACGTGGCAACCTGTTCATTCGTCAACAAACTGGCAACGTGATGGTACTAAAAATCACGTAATAATAATAACAATAATAATAATGACACTTGTTAAAAGTTGTGTTAGCCGATTGTAGATTCTGATAATTGATGACAATGGAGATTAAAAAGAGAGAGAGAGAGAGAGAGAGAGAGAGAGAGAGAGAGAAGACAGAATGAAATAGAACAGTATAATGAGCGATGAATACAGCGAGATCTTCCTTCACAAAGATGAAAATGCAATAAAGGAAGATGCAGCGTTCATTTACGCATTACGTACTTTCTCCCTTGTAAAGGGTACTCTGTTCCTTGGGCCATCTCGTTCGGCCGCATGCGATAACGTGATAACAGCCAGGAAGAAGATGCATAGCGCTAACATATCCGTTCTTCGTAGCAATCGCGCGTCAACTGATAGCAACCAAGAGCGCAACGCGATGTAAAAAGGACGACAGCTCTTTTCTTTGCGGCCAAGCAAGTTCTGTACTTTCCATTTTTTTTCTCTCTTTCTCGCACCGACGGTTTGCCATACACCTGTCTCACTTCGACAAGGGATAATATTGTGAAGATGCTTCGCGGATGCGCAGTCCAATGTCGATGAAGTGTTAGTCCCATCTCGAGAATACTCGAGAGAAACGGTATAGCTGCTAACATCGCGTTGTGTTTGACGATAGAAGTATAATAAGTAGTTTGTGCTGCACTGCCGACGGTGCTAGCAAGATTTTGTTGAACAATTTTTTCTAGCATCGAAATTTTGAATGTAAAGAATTGTGCTTTAAATTTGAAGTATATCTGTTGCATAGGAGCAAAATATCTTAGGAAATATCTTAATTGCAGATTGTAATTATATGATATTGGTTTCTCTCATAATCAAATACAAAAGATAAGGTTTAGCTGACAAATTAGGTAATAAAATTAAATTTTAAAAAATGTAATTTTACCAACAATTTTAGATCACTTCATATGAATATTTAATATTTATCTTTTTCTATAATTACAAATTTACATTTTTATATATATATATACTTTCAACTTTAGAATCAAATTTTTAATTGATCTTTATATGCAATAGAGAGAGAGAGAGAGAGAGAGAGAGAGAGAGAGAGAGAGAGAGAAAGAAAGAAAGAGAGAACTTGTAAATTAAATTACATGATCTTTAAATAAAATGTATTATAATTGCATATGGAAATTAATATCAATTTTTAATTGTTATAATTCAATCAATGAAACCGACTGTTGGTCAAGTAACAATCGCTACAAAATGTGCTTAATTTTCATGTATGTACATAGCCTGATATATATTTTTTACGGTGTTTATAAATCAAGGTTTTATAAATCAATCGATGACTTTTCGTGATGATTTTGAGTTCAACAATTTGACATGTTTTGAAAATTAAATATTGCTTTATATTTTGCAAAACTTTTTTCTGATTTAAAGTCTTAACTATTATTATTACGTTACAGCACATAATTAAAAGTAATTAAAGAACTTGTATGTAAATTTTTTTTCCTTTTATAAAATATACAATTTATAACTAGATTATAACATATAATTACAATATTATATTACAGTACAATATCCGTAATAATGAGAATCAAAATTGTTTGAAATAAAGGAATGGAGGATACCAGATATGAATTTCATATAAATCAATTTGATATAAACTCCGTTATTTATTCTATTAAGATCTTAATAAATTTTCGCTAGTTTTACTTTTTATTTTAATCTTCTTATATTTTCGTTTTTTTATTTCTAAATCTTACTTAGCTTTATCACGCAATTACATAACATATATTTAATTTAGTTATACTTCAAAATCTTCGTATCTTTATAATATATAATCAATGCATAATTTATATTTTCTTTTACAAAATATTGCTGTTTGCTCACTTATAAGGAGCTAATAAAAAATAAACTACGAGAGATAAATTAAAAAAGAAAATAGAAGTGTGTGTTTGTTGGTGTGTATTTATGGTGTGTGTGTGTATGTGTGTGTGTGTGTGTGTGTGTGTGTGTGTGTGTGTGTGTGTGTGTGTGTGCGCGCGCGCGCGCGCG